GCACACACACACGCACGCACACACACCACACACACACACACAACCGCCCGTACAATGTGCAGCTTCCGCCACGTTCTGGGCATCGAGGCGGACGAGCAGATGGTGCTGGCCGCCAAGGAGCTCAAAGCAGAGGGCCGGCTCGAGTTTGTCGCGCGGGACGGCGGCGGCAACGAGGTGCGGGGACAGAGCCGCCGGGCCGACGCGGCAGCGGCAGGAGGGCGCGGCGCGGCGCGGGGGCCGGGTGGCCGGGTGGCCGGGCGGCCGACGGGGCGGCCGGCCTGCTCGCCAGCGACGGGCGGGCGCGTGGGCCGCCGTTGCGGCAGTTGGCGCGGCGGCCGGTTGGGAGCCGCGTCAGCACGGGCCAGCGAGGAGCGGCAGAGTCGCCGCGGCAGCTCAGGCTGCGCGGGCCGCGGCGGCAACGGCAACTGCAGGCGCGGCGGTCTTGACCCCAGCCCTGCCCTCCGCCTCCCCGACACCCCTCCCCCCAAAACCCCCACGCCACCCCACCCCGCAGGTCCAGCTAGTGGCAGAAGTCCCAAATGATGTCGACCGCGACAGAGTGCGGTGAGCAACGCCATACACGGACGCGCGCCGCCGCCCCGGCGCCCGCGCGCCTCCTTCCCGCAACCGCACCCAATCCCAGCCCCGCGCGCGCGTCGCCCGGCCCCCAACCCCCGCCGACGCGGCTCCTCCTCATCCTGTCCCTCCTCCCCCACACGCGCCCCGCCCTCGCGCTCCCCTCCACCGCCGCCGCGCCGCACCCCCGCCGGCCCCCGCGCAGGTTTTGGCACTACCCCCACCTGCCGGCGCTGCCCCCAAAGCTGGCGCCCGTGGACGCCGTTGTGTTAGAGGACGCCCACGGCCGCCTGGACGCCGGCCTGGGGCAGCTTCTCGAGCAGCTTCCCGCCGCCCTGCTCCCGCGCGGCGTGGTCGTGGTCTCGCTGCCGGCGCCGCGGGCGCGCGCCGGCGGCGGCGCGGCGGCTGCGGCGTCCGCGGAGGCGGCGGAGGGGGGCGCCGTAGTGGGTGACTGGGAGGGAGGGTGGGGTGATGGGGCCGGCGGCGGCGGCGACGGCGGTGGCGGGGGTCATGATGATGATCCCGCTGACGAGGTTGATGCGGAGGCTGTGAAGCGGCGCATGGCGGGGCAGGGGCTGGAGTTGGTGCACGAGGAGCTGCTGCCACTGCCCCGCAGCACCAGCAGCCGCGGCGGCGCGGCGGGCGCGGCAGCAGGCGCGGGCTGCGGCTGGCCGGCGGCGGCGTCGGCGGCGGTGCTGCTTGTTTGGAAGAAGCCTGGTGTCGTGTTTTGATCCGCGGCGCGGCGCTGCGGGCTGGGGCTTCGAGGGCGGACGACGTGTACAAGACTAACAAAGAGCGCTGCGTGTGGCGTGATGGGTGACGGCATGTCCAACCCGCAGTTTGACCCGCGAGGGGTGCAGGGGCACCCCGCTGGCAGGTCTGCTGATCGTCTTCTCTGTATTGACCCTCTGGTTTGCGACGGCATTTGACCGGCATTCGATGCTGATGCCGTGCTCGCTGATTTAATGCTCTGCTTGATGGCTAACGGCGCCGGGGATTGCCATTCATGCATCGGGATTTGACCGCATCTTCGAACATTCCAACTGCCCCTCCGATGCATCACTGCGCGTCACCAATATCATGCCTGCCCATTCGCGCCTTGCCAGGCGAGCGCACCCCGCCCCCTGAACCTGCGACTTGACTTGTCACCAGCGCGCGCCCGTATCTGTGAACACCGTCGAAGGCGCCAGCGCCCTCGCCCCAAACCCTGACCACCATCCGGATGTGCCACCCGCCACTTGCTGGCCCCCTGTTTGCCTTTGACCCCCGTCCCAGCATGGGCACCCCACGACTTTTCTTCGAGGCCTGTGCGCCGGCGCGCGCCCCCTTTCCATTGCGACGCTCGCGACCACATGCACCCAGGCGTTTCTGTCGAAAGCATGGCGCAAGCCGTGCATGTCTGCAAACCCGGTGCCCACCGACTTGCCTTGCTGCTGTGCCGCCCGCATGCCGCGCTGTCATGGCTTGCATGCGACACCCCGCAGCAGCTGCTGGAATCATGTCATGTTGATCATGGTTGCGTGCGTTGCCGGCCTTGGCAGGCCTGTCGCCTGTATCAACTGTAACGTTGACATTTGCTCTGTATTTACACCACCGTGGGAGTTTGCTTTTCGCACAAAGGGCAGGACAAATTATATCATAGATCAGGGCAGCAACCAAGCAAACACGCTTCTGGACCAGGTACAACGGCGGCAGGGGCGGCCACAGTCGCCCAGCACCGGGCATGGTTGTTGCCCTTTGCCTGCCCCCTCCCACGAGCTCAGGAGCGGCTACTTTGCAACCGTTGCTTGCCGGGGATGGAGCACGGGATACGCGCAACTCTGTCAAAAGGCATCTGCTGGACGGCCAACATGGCCACGCTGGACCCGGCCTGTGGCTGGACACCGTAAGGGTGTCACTGCTGCACACTTTCTGCATGCGAACCACGCGGACTGCAAAGCGGCGGGGCAGAGCGTATCACAAGAAAGGGATAGTCCTGCCGATCCCGGTGCGCCTGCTGGAGGCCACTGCAGCGGCAGCGGGCTCATCCGGCCGACCTACGAGCCTGGCAGGTTGCAGATGACCTCCCTTTGATCCCTTGGTTGCCTGGGAGCCATGCTGTTGCAAACTGGTGCATAGTCGGGAGTTACTGTCCTGTGGATCAAGTCAGAAGCGCATAGTACATGTGCGCTAAAGAGCCCGGCTGCTGGTGCGCCGGGGCTGGCGCGGGGGCAGCGGCGGCGCCTGCTAGCGCATTCTGTATGCTCAAAAAAGCTGGCCCGCCGCGAACAACTGACGGCGGCTGGTCTTGACCTGCAACAGGCAAATCTGGCAAAAAAGCTATTTGGGGCCTGTACATCATATCAATCACCGGCAGCAGGCCCAGCAACGTGGTGGGTGTCCCGCTGTGAGCAAGTCATACGCTAGACTTTTCCTTGTGGTGACCGCTTGCGCCCCGGGAGTGCGTGCGGACACGTGCGCAAATTTGCCCACATCGAGTGCGCAGTGCGTGTGTACGTGACAGGGCGGAAGCACAATCAGAGGTTTTGCTGTCTGGGTTCGCGCGCCAACACGCGAGCCCAGCAGGCGTGCCGACAGGCCAGGCTCATTGAGGTCAACAGAACACGCCACAGGCAGGGACAAAACTGTTCCCAGGCAGCCGTCGTCTTGAGCCCAGGACAGCGCTGCAGCCCCGGCAAGTGCGTGGCTGGTGACGAGGGCAGCGCCTCTCGCGCCTTGAGGGTGTGGGCAACGGGCCCGCAAGTGAGAGAGGGTGATCGCAAGAACCCACGCGCAGTCACCGCCCAGCTGGCCGGCTCGCAGGTCGGCCAGCTGGGCGGAGACTGCGCATGGGGGTCCAAGGCCGACTAGTAGTGCGGAAGCAGCAGGGGTGATATTGATGGCACACAGCAATAGGCCGAGGCGAGGGTCAGGGGCGGCTTCGCGGTCAATCGACCCTTGAAGCGCAATCCATGTGCGTGCGCATTGCTGTGCGCATGCCGCAAGGTGGCGGGCGCTCTGGGTCCAAACGCCTAGCCTGCCAAGGCGTTGCCGTGAAGCACATATTCAAGCGATGGCGCTGAAAGCAACACAGCGGGCGTGCTGAGTGCAGCCAAGCGGAAAGGGTATCGGCAGGGTGGAGCAGGAGTCAATGTGGGCCAAGACCAGCCATCAGCACGCTTGATCCATTGGTGCATCTCCCATCGGCGCGGTTCAACACTAACGATGGCGGCGCAAAAACGCAGCCTGAATTGTTTCGCAAGCATTTGGTGCCGCGCCAGTGTGGGGGCTGCTCATTCTCGAGTGGGCATTCCTTGCACCAGCACGCGCCTGCCCCCAGGCGACGGCGGGGGGCTGGCAGCTGTGCAGCACAGGTTCATACCCAATTCACCGCCGCCGGCACAGCAAGGGCTGGGTGGCTGGATCACTCCTCCTTGCTGGTGTTTGCCGCCTTGCCGTCCTGGTCCCGGCCGCAAGCTGTGTCCGCCTCGGCTTCGGCCACAGGGGCGGCCGCTGCCGCGGAGGCGGGCTTGTTGCGCTTGAGCGCCTTGGCCTTCTCAGATGGAACCTGCACGTCCCACACCAGGCCCAGGGACTTGAGGGCGCAGATGAGGTACCAGGTGGGGTCAAACTCCCACCACTCCAGGCCATGGCGGGCAGAGTAGGGGAAGGCGTGGTGGGCATTGTGCCAGCCCTCGCCGAACGCGAGGAGCGCCACCCAGATGTTGTTGGTGGACAGGTCACCTGCAAGGTTGGGTGGCGTCACCAGGACGTGAGTAGCGTGGTGGATGCACAGATGAAAGGGAGCAGCCACACATGCTGCGGAGCAGCAGGCTGGAGTGAATGGGCCAAAAGCATGTCCACGTGTCACGCGCCCAAAAGGGCAGCTGCTCTGACCACAGTCGTTGGCCCATGCTTCAGTGCCTCACCAGTGTTGTAGGGGCGGCTGCCCCAGATGTGCGAGGCGCTGTTGACCAGGAATGTGGTGTGGTAGCCCCAGACCAGGGGGAACGCGCAGGTCCAGCAGACCTGCGCCATGCCGCCCATCTTGTACATGAGGATGGGCTTCACGATGAACAGCAGCGGGAAGAAGGTGAACTCCATGACCCTGTGGTGGTCCAGCAGAGGGTAGGTTGACAACTCAATATCGTGCACCAGACTGAGCCAGGGGAGCCGGCAGGAAGGGGGGCTGGGAGTGGTGAGACTGGCGGTCTTATCAAACCGATGCAGGTGCTTGAGAGCCCCGCTTCGCAGCCACCGCAGCACAAACACAACAGCCTCCAATTGCTGCATTTGGCCAGCTATCATCGTCTGCCTTGCCATTGCTGCACGCCATCAACCGCATCCTGCTGCAGCATGCCTGGCGTGCATCAACCCCTGACTTGCATCACCTGTAGAACAGCTGGTTCTTGAGGTCGGGCACGTTGGCGTAGTCCAGCAGGGAGTGCTCAGTGCCGGTCAGCCACAGCAGGTGGCTCCACCAGAAGCCCTCGTAGGGGGAGTGGGGGTCCAGGGGGGTGTCGGTGTGCAGGTGGTGGTAGCGGTGGGTGGACACCCACTCAATGGGGTCGCCCTGGCCGGCCTGGGTGCCGATGAACGCGATCAGGTACTCCAGCCACTTGTATGTCTTGAAAGACTTGTGGGTGAGCATGCGGTGGTAGCCCATGGTGATGCCCACGATGCCGAAGAAGGCAAAGATGAACCAGCCAATCGCCGCCCACCGCCAGGTGAAGGTGCTGTGTTTTAGGCAGGAGCAAGGGGGGACATTGGGGGTTTGGGTGAGGCGGTGATCCATACCGCCTGCTCTGGGCCACTGCAGAGGGCGGGTGCACGCCCAATTCAAAGCGCTCCCCTGGTGCAACTGCATGATGGGCGCAGCCACCATCTGCTCGATGCGGCAGTCAGACGCTGGCCCCCTGGCATGCGTGTCGTGCAGAGAGGGGAAACCCTCAGCACCCAAAAAAACCGCACCTGTAGCCGTACAGCGCAAAGATGACGTGCATGGAGCCGATGGCCGTGCAGCGCATGCCGCAGGTGACCATGTTCTTCATCTTGGCCGCGTGGGTGGGGATCTCCTTGGTCTCCATGTTGAGGAGCCCTCCCGCGCGGAAGGAGCGCCCCTTGCCGGTCGCATAGATGTCAGAGCCTGGGATGCGCTTGGCCCCGGGCACGCGCGCCTGTGCTTTTAGGGACACTTTCGCGCTTGCCGTATTAAGGACGTCGACGTCTTTGCAGCCCTTGATGAGGTCGTAGGCCTCGCTGTAGGAGCGCGCCGTCGCATCGGGCGCCATGGCAGCTGGCGAGAGGCCGTGGGACTGCAGGTGCTGGTGGCCCGGGTGACCTCAACGCACTGCGGCGACAGGGAGGAACTCGCATCAAACCAGCTGCTTGGCGCTATTGACGAAAATACACGGGAAACACTGGCCTTTGGCCCGGCCATGGGCGGCCCCGGCAGTGCACTGGGGCTGGACCCCGATCCTAGCCGGTGGGACCCCTTTTGCAGACGCATGACACATTATGGAATATAACTCGCCTGAAAGTCGCCGAGGGGCGTACTAAGCCCTCGCACCGTGATGGTGGCTGGCTGTGGTGTCGAGCCTGACTGCCGCAAAAGCCCTCGCAACGAAGCAGTAGCACGCTGTATTACACTCTAAATCAGTAGCTTGGAACTACTCGGGCCTGCACAGGTCTGGATCGGTGGGATTGACGGGTCACTGCAATGTAATTTTATCGAGCTAGGCCAGCGAGGGGCGTGCGGATGAGATGGCGTTCTAAATACTTTGGATGATTATGAAGCGCCTTAAAATTATGCGTGCATTATAAATAGGCCAAGAGAGGGCTGCACCAACACATCCACTCGAGCTTGGCAACTCTTTGCAGCGCCGGCCCACAAAGCTGTACTCATGCACGCGGGCTCGGGCTGGCGCAGCAGGGAAGATCAATACCTACAGGCTGGATGGTGCCGTGCTTGATGCTCACAGCTTCACTATAATAATTTTACCAACCGACCAGAGGGTACCTACATCACTGGCAAGGATGCCGCGAGCGCGCCTCTTCGCAGCCCAAGGCCCTCGAGCCACGCACGGTGCGACCAGCAACCAGGGGGTGCTTGCCACCACCCTCAACCGCCTCTGTTGCTGCCTTGCGGTTTTTCCTTTTGTCAATGCATCACTTTTGCCTCAATTTTGAAGTTTACAGGCTCGAGCAGGCCTCGAGGCCAAGCTGGCATACTCCCTCGCACAGGATGACTCCCAGTGGCAGGTCGTGCAGAGACCAGTGTATTTGCTCCGTTACAATAGGAGTGGTGATTTAATACTTTGATGGATTCAAGCTGGTGCAAAAAGGGCACGCAGGTGCGCTGAGGCTGCCGCTTGCCTTGAGCAGCGACTTGCCTTGAGCAGAGACACCCCCAAGGAGGGGCGCAGGGTGGGCTTGGTGTCACGAGATGACAGGCAGACAGTATTCAGTGTGCCGAGCTCACACATTTCTGTGCGGTGCGCGGTTGGCCGCGGCCGTGCGTCCAAGATTGTCAGCCCATCAAACCCCCACAACAACCAGCCGGTTTGGTACTGTGAGGGATGCGCTGAGAGGTGCTGTGTGGATGGCCTGAAGGAGCGGCAAATGCAAATAGTCCAGGGCCACTGGATGATGCACATGGGTGGAAGAGACGGGGTGCGGCCACGATTTCAGCGGCTCAACAGCCCCCTCAAAAGCAGCCCAGCGGCGCAGGCTCACCGGCCAGCACGCGCGCGCGCGCGTATGGGAGGCCTAGGCCTTGCGCTTGCGGGCGGCCTGCTTCTCCATGGTGACAACGGCCGTCACCACGGCGGCGGGCGGCTGCTCCTTCCGGCGCTTGAGCGCCTTGGCCTTCTCAGAGGGCAGCTGCACGTCCCACACCAGGCCGAGCGCCTTCATGGCGCAGATGAGGATCCACGTGGCATCAAACTCGTACCACTCCAGGCCGTGGCGCGCAGAGTAGGGGAAGGCATGGTGGGCGTTGTGCCAGCCCTCGCCAAACGCAAGGAGCGCCACCCACCAGCAGTTGGTGGACAGGTCCCCTGGTGAATGCAGCAAGACAAGGGAGGGCTGGTGTTGTGCGAGCTATTTGGGTTGAGGGATGCACCCACAGCACTGGAAGTGCGCTTGTCAAGGCTAGAGCCCAATCTTACAAGGGGGGGGGGGGCTGACCGGGCCTGATTTCATGGCACAGGCAAGCTCACTGGGCCCTGGTGTGGCGTTGTGCCTGAGTCAAAGCCACAACTGCGTGCTTACCGGTCTCGAAGGGGCGGGTGCCCCAGATGTGCGACGCGCTGTTGACCAGGAACGTGGTGTGGTAGCCCCAGACCAGGGGGAACGCGCAGGTCCAGCACACAGCCTGCATCCCGCCCATCTGGTACATCAGGACGGGCTTCACAATGAACAGCAGCGGGAAGAAGGTGAACTCCATCACCCTGGGCAAGGGGGCCAATGTACGCATAGATGGGTCAGGTGCGAGGATTGCCGTGAGAGCTGGCGCGTGGCATGAACTGTGCAGCATTAAAGACCTGTGCATAGCCGGTGCTGCGATGCACACACTGTGCATGAGGAGCCAACATAACGGCAAATTCAGCAGCCAGGTAACTCTGCAAGTAATGCAGTCTTGCTTGGTCACCATCAAAGGTCCGGCCATTGCCCCTGGTTGGTGAAGTCTCCCCTGCTGATGTTAGGGACTCCTCCCTTTAGGCAGCTGCCCCCCCCTTCAGAACCCCTTCATAAACCACTTACTTGTAGAACAGCTGGTTCTTGAGGTCGGGCACGTTGGCGTAGTCCAGCAGGGAGTGCTCAGTGCCGGTCAGCCACAGCAGGTGGCTCCACCAGAAGCCCTCGTAGGGGGAGTGGGGGTCCAGGGGGGTGTCGGTGTGCAGGTGGTGGTAGCGGTGGGTGGACACCCACTCAATGGGGTCGCCCTGGCCGGCCTGGGTGCCGACGAACGCGATCAGGTACTCCAGGCACTTGTATGTCTTGAAGGACTTGTGGGTGAGCATGCGGTGGTAGCCCAAAGTGATGCCCACAATGCCGCAGAAGGCAAAGATGGACCAGCCCACGGCCGCCCAACCCCAGGTGAAGGTGCTGCGTAAGGGGGGCGGGGAGGAGGGAAGTGGGGTAAGGATGCGTTGAGAAGGCTGACTGGAGCAGCCGCAAGACTAGCAGGCGTCAGCGCGCCTGCCCTCCAAGTGCAGCCCGGTGTGCACATAGGGCCTAGGGGCTGCATTGCACACTGCCCCAGCCGCCGCGGCTCGCCGCGATTCCCCCAGAGAATGCCGGGCATGCCGCGCCCCCTGTGTGGCTGCTGCCTGTGTCTTGGGGCCAGCGCGCGTCGATTCACATCTCCTGCCTGAGCCCATCACCGCTGGGGCCACGTCGCGGTGCCCGGCCCCCTTGTAATCACCCGCCGGCCCAGCTGCCCCTGCGCACCTGTAGCCGTACAGCGCCAGAATGACGTGCATGGAGCCGATGGCCGTGCAGCGCATGCCGCAGGTGACCATGTTCTTCATCTTGGCGCCGTGGGTGGGGATCTCCTTGGTGGGCATGTTGAGGAGCCCGCCCGCACGGAAGGAGCGCCCCTTGCCAGTCGCATAGATGTCGCTAAAGGGGATGCGCCTCGCGCCCGGCGCGGTGGCCTGCGCCTCCTGGGACAGCTTGGGGTGGGCCGTGTTGAGCACATCGGGGTCCTTGCAGCCCTTCAGGAGGTCATAGGCCTCGCTGTAGGAGCGCTCAATCTGGGCAGCAGGGAGGGGCGGGGTGGGGGGTGCGCTAGGCTGAGCCTCTGGGCACGGCCATGTGGAGGGGCTGTGCTGCAAGGCCTGGACGCCGTTGCACACACGCGCAGGCAGCCCTTGATTTCGAGCCCGAATGTTGCGGCGACAAGGCTTGCTTTGACCTGCCCGGCACGGTCGACTCGCAGGGGCTACGGTCGGCTGGGCCCTCGAGCCCTCTGCGCAGTGCATGCGCATCGACCACCGCTCACTTCAACAGGCGCCATCTTGATGCTTATTTTTGTTCAAATGTGATATTAAATTACCGGTTCGCAATGAGCGTGAGATTGAACGCTCGCTGCGATAAACAATGTCGGCGAGTCGAGTGTGCCCGGCTCGTCGGCTAATGGAATCCGGCTGGCCGCACGTACACGTTTCGGAGTGATACAACATCATAAGTGCTCGATTATCATGTGTATGTTCACGCTTTAACATTACCCGCGCAAGGCTGGTTCCGGTGTCTTGTCACTGAGTCACTCTGCGTTGAGTGCACGTGTCACATAAGACGTGACCAAAAAAGTGTCGGCTACACACGAACATAGACATATTCAAATACCATGCGCAACTGTCAGCGTTGAGCCACGGGCCCAAACGCGCAGTCTGATAATGTTCAAATGTGTGGACCTTGTTTGACTTTTCTTGTATGAAGGATCAAGAATGAGTTGAGAACCATGCCATAGTGCTATTAACTTTACACAAAACACTATCACGCTCATAAAGCCAGCTACAAGGTCAGGTGAATGTTGCGGGCGTGTGTGCAGAGTCAACAACACAGCGGAGGGCAAGAGGCAGCGTGCCGATTTGCCCTTCGGTCACTCGAGGTGTGGGTACCGGTACACTTGCATGCAAAGGGACGACGGCGCTAAGAGCATGCATAGCAATGCAGCGATAAGACAACTTGGTGCACGCGATCGGGGCCAGGATGCACGATAACTGCATTTGCGGTCTGGCAGGCAGGAGGGCAAATGCAGCAACAACCCGACAGAGCTTGACGGACGGGCCGATGCACGAGCCATCTCAAGTGACATCAGCAAATATGCAATGCCCGAAACACGCAGGGGCCTGAGAAAAGGCGCCCAACACAGATGCTGCCGGACAAAGGGATGGCTGCTTTAATGCAGGCGGCATGCGCGCACCCCGCAGCGGCGCGCGTTTCAGCCGCCCTCAATCGAATCAAGGCCCCCCCTCCACCGCCGCCACGCCGCTGCCGCCACGACCGCCACCGTCGCCCCCGGCGGACCCCTCTCCGCTGTCGTGCATTGGTCTCTCTGGCAGCTGCATGCTCAAAGGGGATTCAAGGGACAGGCCCTCCACAGGGTGGCTGGGGACATCCACAGCACCCAGGGGGAAGCTGCTCACATCAGCTCCCAGGGGGAAGCTGGACAGCGCCCCGACCGCTTGCCGCCGCAGCGCCTCTCTCGCGCGCGCCTCGGCGGCCGCACGAACCGCGCTGGACAGCCGTGCTGCGTCGTCGCCGCTGCTGGCGAGCGCCACGCCGCCCGTGCCGCCTGCACCCGGCGCCGGCGCCGCGGCGCCTGAGTGCCGCCGCTGCTCGCCGGCCGGCGGGCCGCCTCCGTCCGCGAGAACGTCTGCCGCCTCATCTGCCGGCTCCTGCTGCTGCTGCAGCTGCTGCTGCTGCAGCTGCTGCTGCTGCAGCTGCTGCTGCTGCAGCTGCTGCTGCTGCTGCTGCTGCCGCTGCTGCCTGCTCTTGCCGTCCACCAGATCCCACCAGCCCGACGGCTGCGTCCCGCCGGCTTCCGCCCCGCCGCGCCGACCGCCGTCCCACCTGAGCCCCTTCAGAGCTGACAACAGCGCCTTTTGCATGTCGAAGCCGCCGCTGCCGCCGCCGGCCCCCTGCGGCGTAACAATGGCGCCCGCAAGGCGGCCAGGCAAGATGCTAGGCGCCTTGAGGGCCGCCGTCAACGCCTTGACGTCGCCAGACGCGTCCGTGGAAGCCCTGGGCACTGCCGAGGCTGCGCGCTCCTCCCGCTGCCTCCGCCTCTGCGGCGGCTGCTGCGGCTGCTGCCTGTCGGCCTGCTGCTGCTGGGGCTGCTGTTCTCGCTGCAGTTCCTCCTGCTGCTCCTGCTGCTCCTTTGACTCTCCCTCCTGCTGCTGCTCCCGCTCCTTGCGCACAGGCAGGCCCTTTCGCTCCCCGTCGCCGCCGCCCGCCCCCCCTCCAGCACCAC